GTTTTTTAGGATACAAGATGCTTCCTACAAAACCAGAATGTGAATCTTTTCCTAAAATTTCATGAGGATATCTTGAACACTGAGGAAGTTGAGTAAAAATAGATAAGAACAAGGTGAAATGGTCACATTGGTTCTGCTGTGAACTGCAGCAAGAAAACAAGCTGATTTCACTTAAACAAACATCAATAACGTCCCTCATACTTCAGATAATCACATGATTTTGGTGTTATTTTGTATGGTTTGTAATGATCTTTTGGAATCTGCTGTCAGATTTAATATTGGTGTAGGATAAAAAATGTATCCACATCCCTACAACCTGTGCTGTATCTCTGATTACCCTTCCTAATCTTGAGAAGAACATCTTCTGCTCTGCCACTTCCAGYGCCCTCTTATCTTTTTGTCAATGACACTGTCAATATAACAATAACACATTACTGATTATTGAAACTGTCACTGTATGGACCACCTGTATTTTTTATCAGATCTATTTTAGTCATRGTTAACAGAGCTTAAGTAAAAATGTATGTTTGCTCATATAATGTTTTTTTTAACATACGTATCAACCTTTATAATCGTGAGAGTAATTTACCTGAACTTTTTGGTCTGTGCTATCGTAAAGGCTTACCTATTTTTATAAAACATAAGTTCAATCTTTAAGAGATTTTTGACCTGACAGGGGACAATCTTTCTTTTAAGTAGCAGCCCATAAGTCTATACACAATCATCGGCTCTTMAGATTTTTATAATAAAGTTATGCAAACTGGAACTTAAACATGTGCATTTATATGCAATTTGCTAGGAAATGTATCCATAAACAACTGAGTCGTTCAGTTAACTCCACTAGCTAACATCCAACCTAGCTACAACAAAAGYGAATAGGCTAAAGCTAATATTAGATTAAATAATCTGGTACCACCAACTGTTATCCACTCCGGTTTGTGTTTCTTGTGCTTTTTCCCCATGTTTTTCTTTCCTTTTTATTTTTACAGTCCAAGTGTGTACTCCAGTTTCCTTGYCACTGTTCACGAACCGAAATAACACTAGCTAACAGTATTAGCCATAAAACCGGAAGAGAAAGCTTACGGCGACAGTTGTACTTCCGGGGTCACAAATGAGCGCGCTGAGTTCAACTGGTTATCAGCTTTCCACACGCTTCTGAAATCTTTGATTGACAAAGTGTTTGATTGTTTCAAGCTGTCGTTTTGACAACATTAATGTTTTAAGGTGTGTTTTGCGTTTTTCTCAGTTTTTATGTTCGGCTAACTGCCTCACTGACGACGTACGTAGCGGAGCTAGTTTAGCTAATATAAAAAAAGTTAAGCTAATGTTGATCTAGTATTTGCGCTGTTTACGTTTCTGAGTGTCTTCAGCTGTACTAAAGTTGAGGTAGTCAGAATGGACGTCGCCACCAAACAAAATATTAACGTTGAAGTCCATGTCAAATCTCTCAGGTGAGTTTATTTTCCTTTT